TTTTTTAAATATATATTTAATTTTGCTTTTCTCCGTCCTATAGCTTTAAGAGCTATCAATATGAATCACTTATTTTATGTGGCATGAGTACCATATAGAGAACTGAAGCATGAGCAGAATTCTGATGAATTTGAAAGCTTCCTTATTGAATGAAATAAATCCAGCATCGCAACATCTTTTTTTACGTGTCTAGCAGCCGAAATGCGCGTCTGCTTGTGTTGACCAACAAGATATGGCGTATTCCTTTGTCTACAATTCTCTTATCAGGGTTCAGATACGCATATATATATTTACGACGGTCAATGCATCAATTAACAAAGGGTTAACCTTTTGTCCTCTGACGGTCATTCTCGTTGCCAAGCGTTTACGTACGATTAGCATTGACGACGGTCAATGCATCAGTTGACCATGGGCAAACCTCTTGTCCGCTGACTGCTACTCTCGTTGCCAAGCATTTACGTATGAATAGCATTGAGGACGGTTAATGCATCAGATGACATAGGGTTAACCTCTTGTCCTCTGACGATTATTCTCGTTGACAAGCGTTTACGTACGAATAGCATCGCTTACCGTGGAAGACCACGGAGTGGTCTTCCACGGTAAGCGATTACCTGAACGCCTCCATAAGAGCTGGCTCAGCGCTCGACATGTGTAATACACTCAAAATTAGTGAGATATTATCCAGATAGCGATGCGTTTTTGTGCTAGAATTCGTCATCCTGAACCAAGTTGTCAAGGCAAAAAAAAGGCGTACCTTTGACTCGTGCGGACTGCGGAGAGTATGTCACTATTCGAAAAGTATTGCCCACAGATTTTTCCGACTATAGCAGGCAGACCGCGCGACGCTTGAATGACATATGCTCCCTAGCTCGGGGGCGACCGCAGCGAGCACACGCAGCGGAAGCTACTTCCTTTGCAGGACAAGTTTCATTGGCCGCAAATTGCCTCACTTCCAGCACACACTTCCGCCTAAATGCCTCGCTTCCAGCGCGTAATTCCAATGAACTACCTTGGCTCCAGCTCACAGTTCCATCCAATTGTCGTGCATCCAGCTTGCACTTCCACCTAACTGCCCAAATTCCAAAAATTTTAAGCCTCGTGGATCACGGTTGGCAATTTTGACGTGTCGGCGATGATGCTAATAGTTTACTGACAGTCGTACCAGGAGAAATTATGTTTGCGTGACCAGTCTTGAATGGTCCGGATTTCATTCTCAGTTTCGTGCTACAAGTAACTGACGACAACATATGGAGTTATTATGTTAAAAAAACGCAATTAATTACCTAGCTTTCAAATTCTAACCCAACAGTCCTATTATTTTCAATTATTATGTCTGCTGACGGTAACTCTGATACCAGACATTCTGATACTTATAGCACTGCCGACTGTTTTATGATAGGTACCTAGAAAAAATGTAACCATTTGTCTACTGCTACGTATCGTTACCAGGTATTTAGATACGCATAGCATTGACGACGTTTAACGTATTCTTAGCTTTACTTGTAGTCTACTGGCAGTAAGTATTTGCCCTGCCTTCACAAACAAAAATCATAGAATGTATCCGTACGTACATAAAAGTCAATAAGCCTACAACTGAGCGGCGTATAACTTGCATTCAGCGCAGGTGTTTTGGTGCCGGCAGTTCGCGATGTCAATTGTTCGTGAAGATAAATTGACTGAAGTTGCCACATTACCTGATTACAAAGCTCATTTTCGTGAACTCAGTACAAATGTACCGATGTTACAAGTGGATGAGCATAAGAGTGAAAATAAAAGTAAAAATTCAAGTGTGAGGAGCCAAAATTTCAAAGAAAAGGTCGAACTTATGGTAATTTATGAAGGAAAATGTTATAGCATCTAGCAGACTAAAATGTTCTACTAGTTGAAATTATTGTGAGAAACGAACGATGATAACGGCATCGCAGAACAATTGTCTAAACGTGTGTTACTGGCGATTTGTTGATTGGATGCATACAAAATATTTAGTATACCGTATATACCATATATCACAAAATATTGCACGTGCATATGTGCCTTCAGTTAGCATTTTCCAACACATCCCGCTACAGGGCAACTCGCTTAACTGCCGTACAATTTGAAACTGTAAACATTGGCGCCACAAAGCTGCTCTATTTGGGTCATTGAATCCATTCCCACCCAACAATTAAGTGGGTTCACAGCACATCACTCAGAAAAAAGAATGGGTTACTGCCCTAATAGTATAAACTTCCTGCTCGTAGCCCTGATACGCTAATTTGCGGGCCAAACTAATTCAGGATGACACATAATAGGGCAAAAAGTTCGTCGCTATTTGGACGACGTCTCACTGATTTCTCTGAGTGCAGCCATTGCTTCATCACTTAAATACCTACTTTTCCATTGCTCAATAATTGCATGTCCGCGCTTTCCATATATACCAGTGCGCAATACATTCTAAATTTATTTTTCTTCATACAGAGACCGTACTATCAAAACTTGCCTTACTGCACGGAACTACACAGTGAAAATTTACAGACGCGGCAGCTTCTGATTTGGACTACCAGAAGCTGGGGCGACTCTAAATTTCGTTAAGGTAGCGGTCAATTTTTGGGTTAAGATTGAAAAGCCGACAGTTATTGGCTGACAGTTACAAACTCTAAGCTATTTTTTTGTAGGACGGCTCCAGAAACCGTTTAGACACCATGGGAACGCAGGCCGATTGCTACATTCTACCGTACAAAAAAACAGCTTCGAGTTATGTACGGTACGTACAATTTGAGATTAAGAAACCTGAGACGTGGCTTAACGACAGACCGAAGATGTATTGCGTCACGTCGAAGTCTTGACCAATGACAGCTCTCCCAGTTGACTGAACACTCAAATTAGTTAGAAACTATCACTAAGTCAACCACGATTAAACAAAATTACACTAAAAACGTACGAGAGCTCAATACTGATGCATTGGAAATCAAAACCCTCTAAATGGAACATTGAAATATTAATCCAGGATTCAAGAATGGAGCGAGTGAACGTCGAGAAAACTTGGAATTGACTACTTTCTACGGAAGGTCGTTAACTTCTTAGCTACTGGTAAGGCTTCGGTGCTGGACTTATATATTACTCTATGCGCTGCGATTGCTTAGAAACTACGTTGTTTGTCTCTGAAATTCTTCACCTGGAATAAAAGGTTGCTGCATAATTTGCCCTTTGAGAATAAACTGAATTTGAAGTGAGAGCAGTCAAATACCCCGATGAACGGTGGCGCTTAATCATTCCCTGCATGGGGCATTCAAACTAACGACATCCTGCTACCGTTCCTAAATTTGAAACTGCTTACGCTCGTAAATCAGCTGGGCCCAGTGCCCAGCTGAGAAATGTATAAACTGTTCAGCAAATTTACAGACCATTCGCTTTCTCTTGTCAGCGAAACACGCAAGTAATCCAAGGACTTGCTAGATTTTAAGTTTTTGCACGAGTTTTAACGAGATCGTCGCCTTGAATTGCTGCATGGACGCTTTCAAATTGTTGGACGTCAAGCCGTCTACTGGCGCCATGATGGCACAGGAGCACACTGTACTTAGCTCGCCGCTCTACAATAAAACCTTATACTAATAATTGTGAAACTGCGATATGTTGAGTTCGATTTTATAATAATTAAAAAGCTGATTTGATCTCGCTGTAGGTTTTGGTTGTTTTATTTATAAAATAGATCGTTCCTTTTGGTGACATGCGAGCAAAGCTGCGATGACTCAAATGGCATCAACTTTTTAGTATCGTCGTAAACTATCAGTTAGCCATAAGCAACGCGATTGGTAGAAGGTAGATCATCAAGGACTACTACACACAGGACATGCATAGCCTATGTCCAGCCTCTGCTAGCAGAGGCGATCGCCTACACTATGAAAATGCTGTTGTTTTAGTGGCATCAACAAATGATATGCCCATAATTGTTTCATACAATAGTATTACAATGTGTGTAGTAGTCCTTGGTCAGAACCATAGAAGCATTTTCATAGTGTAGGCGATCGCCTCTGCTAGCAGAGGCTGGACATAGGCTATGCATGTCCTGTGTGTAGTAGTCCTTGTAGATCATATAAAATGTCCATAATTTTACAATCGTATACCTTCAAGAGGTATAACGAACATCTCGACGAAGAAAGCCCCCACCGTCACCGTATGAAGCACAGCAGTTCACACGATTCGGATTGAAGGAGAAGTTCTCAATGGCACCAATTTTCACTTGGGACTTGGAAATAAGACAATATAGGTACTAGGTACCTCGCGTTAGCACTTTTGCCAAAACCGGTGCTTTTCAAATACACGAAACTGAAAGAATAACGGAACTGTATAAGAATCACCATCAGTTTTCATTTTGACTCCGAAAATAAGAAATGAAAGTCTTAACATTACAGTGAGCTAAAGCTCCCAACAAATACTGAAATAGTAGGAGCCCATGATCTACGTAGCTACGTAGAAGCGTAAAGTGTCCGTCAATGCAATTTGCAGCTGACTCGAAACTTAATTTGATGATTAAATTGGAAAATCTACCTTGCCTGCAAAATCAACATTTGAAAATTTAGTTTAAATGGTTCTACCTAACAATGTCTTCCTTGTATACGAAATATTCGCAATGAGCCCAAGTAAAACTTGAACAATAATCAGCTCTCTCTGGCGGTTCCACATTCGCTGAACAAACTCAAGGTTTGGTGAGAAATAAGAAAAAAAATCGAGAATTTTGAAATCTATTTCAACGTAAATTGTATAGAATTTAGTGAAGCAGACGAGAACTAGGCACATGACCATAATAGTGAGGCGAGTTTGCAAAGCCGCACCACCACCCTACATGCAAACGCTAGGCGTACAATTAACCCGGTACTGCACGATCTCTCTTTTACGCTTCAATGGTCATTTCATTCTCTCATAAACTTACCGTAATTCTGTTCATGCATTCATACCTCCATCACATCACTTAAATTTACGAACAGCAGAGCAGGAAAAGAAAAAGACACCATGATACTAACAGGAATTAATAAATCCAGGAGCGACGGAAGTAACCTTTACACCGTACCACAGTCGGAACTATACTGAGCGTGAGCGATGAGATACTGCGATGCCACACGCCGCCACATGACACCCGCGAGAACAAGTGACATTCTCCTGCTGGGGTGCGGCACCAGCACTCGTTAAATTCTGTCTCGTGTACCCATTTAAACGTTGCTTGTGTCACAATAATGTGTTTACCCAGTGAATTGTTCGAATACTACCATAGAGAGACTAATGCGAGTCTTATTTATATCTTCACCGTTTTATTTGGAATAAATTTTCTTGATATATATGACCTCGAATTCCCTTGAGACACTAACATATTATTATTTAAAAAATATAACTCAGTACTCACTGCAGTGAGTGATAGAGAGCGCATTTTCTCGTCGACGAAAACTTGAGGTCACGGACGGACAGACAGACGGACATGGCGAGCACAATAGTGCATTTTTTCCATAAATGAGAAAATGCGCTAAAAAGCATTGAGTATTGAGTAAAGTGGATTCAGCAAACGTGCGGGTTCTATGCCCACAAAAAAATCATTACCGACGGAAATAACACTTGATTTAAAAATGGGATCTACAGTTTATAAACAGATCTTTAGCCAAAGTAAATTCATTATAAATTAACTAATTCATTGTGAATTAACTAACACGAATTCGACGTCAGTTATCATTTCAACAGCATGACAGCGTAAAATGCGAGTTAAGTTTATGGTCAAAGAGAGATAAATTGAATAAACACTGAATCGACGCTTCTGCTGACCAATTAAACAACGAAGGCTGAAATAACTATAAAGGTTTTTTGAACGACTTTTAGCTAATGTTTGTTAGGATGATGGTAACAAATTCCCAGAATATTAAACATTTTTCTTCGCAATATTTCCAAAATGCTGAGACATATCTTCTGGAAACTAACGTTTTCCAATTGATGGTTTGTCAGCATACGTACAGTGGGGGGAAATAAATATTCGTACACGTGAACAATCGTATTTTAATGTATGTAAGTACACAAACTTAACAGGAAAAGTGATTTAAATTATGTATAGAGACGCATAGTATTCAAAAATACTATCAAAAGATTTTAAATCTCAATGCAACAAAAAACAATGCAACATGTTCACTTTTCGGGTGAAAAAAGTATTCGTACAAAAATTAGATTCTATGAACAAGGCACGAAATGGAAAAGAATCGGCGACAGGCCACATCAGGCCTACACTTCAGAGCCGACATCACTATGTTATGTTATGTTATCACTTGCGCTACTGATCTCGGCAGGTTGGCTGCATGGTAAATCTTGAAAATCTGAAGGAAATGTATGGAGGACTTCGACTTGAGCGTTAATGCATTCTCTTCGCGTAGAAACTAAAAATCTTCACGCATGCTTCTACAATTTATTGTATGGTTTTCATTTACGTGCAAAAATATCGCCAATATTGATGCGAAATTTAAATTAATTGAAGTGAACAGCAGTTAACTGCGCAAACGCATCTAATAAAATTTAAATATTTTGCAAGCATCTAGTTAAATAAAAATGAATAGAAGACTTTTGCTGCTCGAAAATATTAGTTTATCATCTAAATTAACAATAAAATTAGTGAGTGAGAGACTCCATGATGACCAAATTCTTCAGAAGAATAGAGACTAATGACACTTGCAGGAACAATACAAGTAACAAGAAAATGATAAATTTTTATTCACATAAATTTCAAAAAAATTGCATTTACGGTATTAATCCCTTATTCTTGAAGTTTATATTGCCTCAAACTTTATTATTAATTGATGTCTTTCTTCAATTGAATAATTACATAGGATAATAATCCAGGATTAACATCAAAGATATATTTAATGATTATCTAATCATTCTGAATGCTATAATATATTATTCCAAACTACTGAGAGTTCAGGGTGCTCACAAGTTTCAGGAATTCAGTCAGATTTCTCTTAATAATTTCCCAAACTGAAGATAATGCACGCATTACATTCCAACATTCAATAGGTATATTGATAGATAAGGTTCAAAGTTACTCAAAATGTAAGCTAGGCATGCATTTGAAGTCTACACGAGGGTGAAGACACATCAATAAAATGCACTTCAGGGACACGGTTTATCTGGCAGGTGCAACAGCAGGCCTGATAAAAGTTGTGCCTGGGCATCCAAGTCCCTAGTTGGCAGCTCACCAACCAGCGAGCCATACTATATTCAATGCATCAGGCCATCAGCACTCGATTTTAGTGTTCAATGTGGTAATGGTAATTATACCATTACCACATTACCACTCAATGGGGTAATTATTCTCAACTACCTGTATGGTTTGATGGAGACATAATCAGAACACAAATTTTGAAGTACACTGCACTTGATTTTACAGTTCAATGTGGTAATTATTCTGAACTACCTGTATGGTTTGGTGGGGACATAATCAGAATACAAATTTTAAAGTACTCGACATCAATTGCTCATTGTGATACAAGTCCAGCTTTAATTTATTGACCTACAGTTCAAAGAAGTTAGTCCACATTTGATTAAATCATAATTCCTAAAATATATTTCATCAATGATATATCTAAGTCCATCAATCCATCAATGTAAAAAATTTACAAGTGAGTGTATCTAGATAATGAAAAGGTAATATCTATATATTTACATGCTATCAGAAGAAAAAACATGTTTAGATGTATGTACAAAATTCTTAGAATATTGACCAATCAATGTCCATTATGGCCAACAGAGCAGACTCCATTACTTCTTTCGGTCAAAAGGATCCGACCAAATCTTCATGTCTGCACAATAAACATAGAATGAGCATCAAATAGTTCACCAATGTTTTACATGATTCAAAAACAATGTTCAGAAAGTATGAAATTTAGTTCATAGACTTCAAACTGAAAAATATGGTTAGTTAGTTAATTTAGTCGCCACATGTTTACTAGCGCGCTTCAGCTATTTAGCTATCTTGCACCAAAAGTCATGATGAACATCACAAAAGAGGTGGAAGGTCTTAATTATCAAAAGTTTCTCAAAGCACAAATAGTTCATCACCCACGAGGGGTGGAAGGTCTCAGATGTACAGCCCGCTGTAGCTGGCTCGACAGGAGCAGCGTTAGTATCTCAAAGAGACGAAGTGACAAGGAGGGACAGGTGAAAAGCAACAGAAACTAAGATACTCAAACAAGAGGTCGCTTGTGCGGGACGTCAGCCGCCCGCACGAGAGAGACAGAGAAGGGAAATGTAAGGAATCCTACCTACATAATAACTTAACCCCACAACTGAGACCAGCAGTCGGACACCGTGAGCTCAGCGGTGGGGCGCTCAGGAACAATACCCCTAGGAACGCAAAATACCATAGGACTTCTGACAAGCACAGACACATGTCAGAAGTCAACCCTGAGTGGAAACTGAAAAATATGACATTAATAGAGAGTATTACAGTACCACTGGTACATATAAAACCAAACTTTTCAGCTAAAATTGATTGATACAACAAACCACAGGCAAGGTTGCCAAATGGTGGCAAGTGGTACAAAAAGGCAATAAATCCAATATTTATTAATAAATTTGTAATTTGTTGTAGAAAAGTTCAATTTCTATGCCTAATACAAGTGCAAGAGTCAAATTTGGCTGGACAAAGGCACATCTGGCAACCTATGTAATTCCTTACCTCAACCAAATATTAATACATTGACATCTATGGGTGTAAGCTCTAGCTGTAAGGTTGAACATTCTTACACTTTTCAACCTATGTTGAAATACAAGTACTCACTGCTTAATTGGGTATTTAAACAAGTAACATCCCAATTAACAACAACAATTTTCACTGCTCCATTAGGTATCCAGACAAGTAACATCACAATTAACAATAGCTATAACAATTGTAACCCTCAACACCCTCATGAGCATCTTAGGAAGTAACAAGAATTTATGATATAATAACAACTGTAATACTCAATGCACTGTTGGTCATCTGAACAAGTAAAAATAATTAAAAATGTAGCAACAACTGCAATACTCACTGCCAGGCTGGATATCTTCTTGCTTGATATTCTTCCTATTTTCAGCCTGAATTTTCTCTGTAACAAATAAAGAATTGAGTAAGACACAATAAAGCACTTAGCACAAATATGATGGAGAAACACAGGTAGGTCCAGAGTTACTTCTCTCTCATTATCTTGGAAAATCATTTAAATTTTTAAATTCATTACTGCATTTCTCTAACTTGTCACTTGCTGTTAGAAATATGGCCACAGAATTTTTTGCATTACTTCAAATCATTGCAACAGAAAGTTTGAAAAGCTCATGATGGTGTTCTCTTCTTTTTATTTATATTCACTTTTCAAGGGTTCATCGCTGCTTTTTTCTAAAGGCACCTGAATTTGTCATGACAAGAATTGAAGGAAAATGTAAGGAAAAATTTAAAGTGGCAGTTCTAATTAGCTTTAGTGGTTATAACCTGTTGAAAAAGGCATAGACTGACTGTTTCTTGCTAGAGGAGGGTTGTTACCAGTGCACAAGTGGTTTTTAATGTGCAAATTCTCAATCAATATCTTATACATAACTTTACTTTATTATTAATTCAATATTAAGTGACCATTCCTGGAACATATCTCCTCTAAAAAAAGCCATGGATCACTTTACCAACAGCAAAAAAACTTTTCCCAAAGAAAGTTCTGCATCAATATTTCATTAATAAATTACTTTCCCCACTTGACCCAAAATGGCTTTTTCTAAATTTACCAACTACTTTTTTGCCATAAATTTCAAGCTATTCATCATTCTCTGCAACAACAGCTTCATTTTACCAAAAACATATATGAAAATACTAATTCAGCAGAAATTTGTTACTTTCATGAGCAGCAATGCTTTACTGACAAAGAGGCAATTTTAATTTTGACAAACTAGACACTGTAAGACACATCTTCTTTGTTGTGGACATTAATGTAAATTGTGCCCATCAATAGATTGTGATAGTTCTTTGACTAACAATGACACATGAAAGCATAGTGACAAACCACAGATTTTTTACAATCAGTTTATTATTAATTTCCTCATCTATTTAAGATTTAAATCAATTTCCTATTTATAATAATGCTAGTACTATCCATGATACTTTACTGCTTTACTTATAGGACTCAAAAATGAATTTGAGGGAGAGTCTAAGAAAGTCTCTGCTTTGACACTGTGCATGAAAGTGTAATTATTATCAAGATGGCTTGATGGGTATCTTGAATTTACCCATCTTTTAAGCTAAAAGGTCTTCTTCTAAAGCATAATTGGAAAGTCCTACATATTACTAATATCTTACACAGCTTGAAAGTACAGAGGTATTCTCTAGAGTTTATGAATCTTGCTGCTATTGTGCTTGTCATGTCCGTCTGCGAATTCACATTTTAGTCAATGTGAAATGCGCTCTCTGACTCACTGCAGCGAGTACCATTAACTGGGGTGACTTTGGCCACCCAAGGTGACTTTGGTCACATCTACAACAGAAACAAATGGCAGCAAAACAAAATAATAAACGTTGGCCAAAGTGACTGTGGTGACTTTGGCCACTGGCGTGACTTTGGCCAATGTTTATTATTTTGTTTTGCTGCCATTTATTTCTATTGTAGGTGTGGCAAAAGTCAACCCACTTCATGATATATAGGAAATAATTTAATCAATGGTAATCTTGCTGCTCCAAAAAGCAAAGATGGCAAGAAAGCTTGAGTCACAGGCCTATTCTGAAAATTGGGCAAAAGCCTTCATGAAAATGACAAAAACGCCCTGTGATTGCAGTTAATTTTTACCATTTTTATGGACTCTGCCTAATTTATTTCTTAAATAAATTGAGAAGAACAACATATTTTTGCCCGCAATTTTAAAAGAGCATACTTGAACCAATTTTTTGCCTGCAATTTTTGGAAATTCTGCCTGAGATTACAGATTGGGTTATACTTACAGCTAACAGCTGGGCTAAGTGGGCTTGGACTTGGAGCATAGATATTCTATGACTTTTTTACACTTTTTTACAGTCTAGGCCTTTGTTGCTCCCCTAAGAGGAAATGTGGGCAAAAGCCACCCATGAATCAGATAAAAACACCTGTGAATTCGGCCAATTTCATCTGTTTCAATGGCCTTTTTACAATATTTTTTGTGAAAAATAAAAAACTACCTATTTTTACCATTAATTCCTAAAAATCATGTGTAAAACAAGTGTTTTTAACAGCAATTTTAGGAAACTTCTGATCAATATTCCAAAGACAGACTTGCTCACATGTATTTTCAATAAATTATATTACATTTTCAATCTAAATTTTTTAAATTGCAGGTGCAACCAGTCATGTCTCAGGATGTCTCATGAATCATGATATATGCTTTTGAATAAATATGAAATCTAATTCCAAACAAGATAACTGATAAAATAAAATGATTATAGTTCAAAATCAAGGACTCACAGAGCCATATAAGAATTTATTGTTTATATCAATGTTTCAAAGCTCAGACTAAAAATAAGACATAGCATTTAGACTTGAATTAACTATGTAGTATCACTAGTCATTAACTCATATTTAACTTATCTTGCCAGTATATTCATGCTTTTCGTTGCTAGTCATTAGCAGTATTTACTATTTCTATTTACTCCACCTGCTGTCCAGCAATCCAGCATAACATCAGACTCAGTATAAGCTATAGAAAATTATACCGTTAGTCCGTTACTGTACTAATTTCTTTAAATCTATATTCCAATCCTCTTATACATGCTCATTACTTAGTAGGTACTCACTGTAATAATCTGGGTTTAACATTGGATAGATAACGATTGGATATAAAGTAACTGAGATTAAACCAATAAAGGTGCCATAAATTGCGAATCGGCTTAGTTTTTTAAAGTAAGATCTATCCATGTTAAATACTAATAAATTTTAACGGCTGATCAACTTTTGGCCGACACACAGAAGTAACGGTTAAGTAAGAATTTTCGCTTCACGGTTCACTTCTTCTTTGCGGGTGGGTCCACACTAGGTGGACATAAAGCCACAGTTCTGCCTGATGGATGACCGTTGGGCCTGAGAGCTTGTTGCTGGTTAAGTTTTTAGCCTCTTGGTACAGGAAGCTAGTCAGTGCTCTCTTTAGAGAGCAGTTCTCTGGTAGCTCTGCACAGGATTTGAGGAGTTTAAAGGAGACAAGTATTAGTAAATGGTCTTGAGAGTTGAGACTAAATGCTCATTTGAGGCAAAGCATAAAAGGTAAGTGAATGTTGGTTCAGCCTCCCTACCTACTACAAATACCCAAAAGACACACCTAGATGTTGATAAATATGCCAACAGTAACAGTATATAAAACATAAGTGGCAGCAGTAATCAAACGTGTGCATGGCTGTCATGCAAGCTTGTGTACAGCTGTTGCATGGTAACCTACAGATTGCCTATCCTGCCTGACTTCAATGTGAATAAAGTAAAAAATAAAAATATTTTCTGTTTACATTATCATCATGGTTACCCCATAGAATAGAGATTTTGATGCCCCATATTAGCTGCCTGGTCTGCAACCTCATTTCCTTTTACCCCAGAGTGTCCTCGCACCCATTGGAGTATGGTGGAGGCTTGCCTTTTGTAGGCATGATCTTGATTTTGTAAAAAATTCTTTGTATGAGGGGTTTATGGTGTTCCTGATTGCATACAAAGCTGATTGGGAGTCAGTCAGCAGGAGAAAGTTCTGTGTGCTTAGCCTCAGGTTCATGCTGCAAAGCTGCAGAGCCTTGACAATTGCAAAAAGCTGAGCCAAGGACTGTATGTCCAGGGTTCAGCTTCTATGTGGTAGTGCTGTGTAGAGTTTGTACATAACGTATAGGTATAGCTGCAGCTGTAGAACCATTGCTGAGTTTTGATCTATCTGTATATACATGCACATAGGAAGGGAAGTTACTATGGCAAAAATCATTGAACATTCCTCCCCTGTTGATGTCTGGAGAGGCATCATGGCTGCAGATGCTTTGAGAAGAGAGATGGATATGGGGTTCCAAACTGTAATGTGGAGGTAATGGTGAAAAGTTGAGCGTAGGTATTCTATGGATGATGGGTATGGTCAAAGCTGTCAGAAGATTCCTGCCTCTTCTGGAAAAGTGACTTGTGTCTTTGTGTCTAATTTGTAAGCAGAGACACCCATTGCATGGCAGATTTCTTCCCCAGATTAACCCTGAGGGCAATGCAAGCTTTTCAGGTACCACTTGAGGAAAAGGTAGTCAAACCTGATCTCAAGAGGGGGTATATGAGCTTCAATTTCCATGGATGAAATGGGAGATGTATCATGGGCACCAAGGACAATTCTCAGTGCACTAGACTGTATTGTTTTTAGCTACTATATCTGTTTTGCAGAAATATCACCAAGGTTAAATAGGATACTGCCATATCCAAGTTTGCTGCAGATGAAGCTGAAGTACACTTGCTGGAGTAGGCACCTTGAAGCACCCCAGCTGCTGCCAGAGATGGCACATAACAGCGCCAGTCTGCAAAGACCTTCATTCTTAAGATGGAAATGAGTGCATGAAACTTAGCTTTTGGAGCATCAAAAAGAACACCCAGAACCCTTTGCATGGGCATGCTTCTGATTGGTTGGTCTGAAATAAGTACACTGACTGGTGATATGGTGCGTTTTTGAGTGAAGAGCTGGAGCGAGCCAGAAGATCAGTGGTACTACCGCCACAATGCTATCCTGTTTGCATGGGGGTATGCCCCATGCATGCCCCATTGTTGATTTCAATGTGGTGTTCTATCCTCTTTTGTATAATTATTTCCATGAGTTTGCCAATGCATGATAGCAACGTTATGGGTCTGTAAGATTTGACCTGGCTTGGATCCTTGTCCAGCTTTAATATTGGGCAGATGACACCCTGCTTCCAAGCAGTTGGGACTGTTCCACTGAAAAAGCTGGTATTGTATAGGTTCAGAAGCTCCATTTTTATATAGTCTAGGCTCCTGGAAAGAAAGATGTTAGCAATAAGATCATTGCCAGGTGATGTATTTTTCAAGGTTTGAATGCTTTTATGGAGCTCATAGAAGCTGATTTCAGGACACTGTGTCCCAACAGCATGTGCCACAAAACTCTCCACTCTGTCAATCACCTCCCTGTCAGTTGCTTGGTCATTAGAAGAAGCAAAGCTGCTGGTTCAAAGCCGCCAAGAAAAAGTTCAGCAATTTCTTGATTTGGGGCAGTATGTTATCCAATTGGAAAACTCCTGGAGCACTGCTCTCCACCAATGCTCTTGATAGTATGCCACACCTTGGAGGTGGTTGTTTTCTTCTTTAGAGCCAGGTGTTTTGCAACTGCAACACATCTTTTATAATGAATCAAGTTTGAAAGGGTAGGATGACTCCAGAGTTTTTTCTTGGCTTTTCTTCTGTTTTCAACATTGGCTCCACACTCCTGATCCCACCATGCATTCTTTGGGAATTTCAATGATTTTATTGGTGATGGAATGATTATGGGTTTCTACATCTAAAGGAAAGTGCTTATCAGTTAAAATTTTGATAGTTTGCTGAAACAGGGCTGTCCACTTTTTCCAGTTGGCTCTTTTCAAGGCCCAATTTTCCTCGTCCTACACTTTGCTTTGCACACCTAAAGCCAAGTGTGATCTCCATGGGGAAGTGATTGCTGCCTAGGTCACTGCCCCAATGCAGCTCCCCAAGGACCCCCAGATCATGAGTTGTTATGCAAAGATCTAGACATGAAGTTGAACCAGTACAATTATCAATGTAAGTAGGAGTGTCAGCATCATTAAGCAGTATAAGGTTGTGCATTTAAATTACCTTCTCAATGCTCCAGTCAGTGTGGTTGTATCTGTTTCAGGAGTCCCACAGGGGCAAGTGTCCATTCAGGTTGCCAATGAGAATAAAACTCTTTCCGAGCTGATTAGTGTAATGCTGGAGTTCCTCTAGTGATACATTTTTGCAGGGGTTGTAGACATTCAGAATGTAGATGCTATCAGAGTTGGTGTATATTTCAATGGACTGACACTCCAAGAAACCAGTTGGAAACGGGATTACTTGTTTTGGTTTAAAAGTAACATCCTCCCTGATTAAAATTCCCATGCCCTCCTTCTCTCCCAATTGGTTCAGCCATAAGGATTGATACCCATAAAATTTGGGCTCATTCCTCTTCAGCCTGGTTTAACACAAACACAATATTTTTGTTTTTAGCACATTTTCTCATTTATAAAAAAAATGCACTATTGTGCTCGCCATGTCTGTCAGTCCATCCGTGACTTCACATTTTTGTTGACAAGAAAATGCGCTCTCTGTCACTCACTGCAGTGAGTACCTAGTTACTATATTTTTTTGGTGTAAATGTAGATCTTCAGCTCTGATACTTTGCTTCTCAGACCATTGCAGTTTAACTGATAATTAAAATTCGAATGGGCCATTTTAAGTCTTCGTTTTGGAGTTTTTAGCTGTCTTGGTTTGTCTCTTCTGCAAAGATCTCAGTTGTTTATCAGTGACCAACTGACCATTACCTGATTACCTTCAAAGTCTAATTTTAGGACCAGGGAGTCTTTTTTTGATGTTCCAGAGAATTTTGGAAGTCTGGAGATCTTAACAACTTTGCAAACTTGTCTTTGCATGTTAAATAATTTGTCAAGATCATTCTCTTGCACAACTGGATCAATAACCCCAGAGCATATTTCTCCCTTGTCAGATTATGGTTTGTAGCATTCAATTTGCCATTTTCCAAGTTTTGTGGTAGAGAGTAGGGTTTTCATTGCCACCTCAAGGTACCTCTTCATTAGTTTTGAATTCAACTGCTACAATATTCCTCCTTTTATTAATTAGCACATCTTTAATTTATATCTCTTGAATTATTTTGTTTAGTTCTGTCGTGACTAAAATTTGATTCAGAGAAATTTTGCTCATGTCCAGAGACATTTGCTTCATTAGAACAGATGACTGAACAGTTGAGTTTGAGGGAAAGGATCTGAGCTGCTTGAGATTTTCTGATGGTCTGGTAAGTTTTGGGATGGCACTGGTTGAATTTGTTAAATTGTACAGTTCTTCTTCAGATTCAGTAAAGGCCTATACTTTTTTGCTGCTTGCGATTTCTGGAGCTTCCATGTTGTGATGTTGTGTCTGTGCCAGTTCCGCTTTCCAGCAAGCAGCAAAAAGGTCATCATCAAGCACATTTGGTAGTTGTACAACTTACGAGGCTTTCCATATCTTTTGGTAGCAAAATTCCATGTGGCAATGTCACGGTGTCACTTGCACTGTGCACACTGGGAGAGTGGTACCTAGCTGGTGTCTTGCATTAGTGTTGCTGCCACTTGCTGGCAGCCTGGCACTATGTCTAATGTCCTCTTCATCTTCTGGCACATCAAAGCCTAATACTGAAATGGCTGATGGCGCTACTGCTTCTTCTCATGGAGAGAAAAGGAGGGGCGAGAAAGCCAGCCGGGTTCATGAAAATTAAATCAAACACTTGACTTATACACTCGTAGTACCTACTATACAGAGAACTTCACTAAGAGAAGGGAATTCAATATCAAGTTGATGGATGATGTGGAGGTATTCTAACGAAGTACCTACTACGTTAATCACGGAATAAAATGTAAGGTTAATCTCAGAAAAAAAATAAATAATCACAGAAGACAGAGCACAGTCATAAGACGTTTACTGTATGAACGCCGCTGACTCCCTTTCACGGTTCACGGATGCAATTCGCAGCCGCAGGTGCTAGGAAAAAAATGAAGCGAAAGCAGCTGGTCACTTCAATCTTAATTTCCGTTCCGTTTTCGTTCCGGAGTTCTGAACTTCTGAAGGAACCATGAGTGGACACTTCTATAGCAAACCTTTTGGAAAGAAAAGATTATTGCTCAGAATAAGATATTCCACCACTGCAAGCTGACTTGTGTTTACTATTATTGTGACCGGTATTGTTAACTTTTGCATCCATGATCCAGGTACTGCTTATCTCATTATTATAATTTATAGATGGTTATTGTTCACTTTTGCATCCATGATCCAGATATTGTTTCCCTCATTATTAATATTATGAGTTCGATTGACGAGACTATTCATAATATGACATCGTCGCGGTCTCAGTCAAGTCACGTGATAGATATTGTTAGGTATGATGGTTTCGTTGTCGCTAGAAAAATATTTACTCACTGCGACAACCCGTATCTGCTGAGTGCT